CCTCATGGCGGAGGGGGGAGCGCAAGGTGGAAATTTCGCCTAGGGCGCCAAACTTCCTTGCACCGGCCCTGCCCAGGGCAGCGGGTTGCTGCCCTTGCTCTTTGATGAGATGCCTATTCTGGGGGCTGGGGAAGTCTCTTCTCTTGGCTTGGGGCCCTGGAACAGAAATTGTGTCTCCATCTCTCCTCGGCCCGCCGGCTGCACAGTCACGCCCCCAGGCATGGACTGGGCTCCCTGCCGCCCACTCGCCAGCCGTGCTTGCGGCCAGGAGGCGCCATTGGGTGAGAGCTGGCTGTAGTTCTGGGCAAGTCCCCGTAGCGACGGGGCTCAGCCGTCCGGCCATCGTTCTGCCCTGTGACGCTCATTCCGGCGGCTCAGGTGCGTTCCCCTTTGGTTGTGCCCTGCCCCTGCCGGTCCCGGGGAGCCAGGGCGGAGGAGTGCACCGTGTTTGCTCTGGCGCTTTGCTGCACAAAGGCCCAGGCGTGTTTGCTGGTGGGGCAGGCAGGCCCCAGAGGTGAATGCTCCTGTCTGGGCGCTGCTTAGGGGTGGGTGGGGATCAGCCCAGGTCTGCTCTGCAGCCTTTGTTTCTGGTTGTTTGCAGAACTGCAGATGGGGGGTGAAATCCTGCCCCAGGGAAGCCCAGGGGAGTTTTGCCGGTGATATCATCAGTGGAGCATCCATAGGGTTTTATCTAGTTAGTGTAGGTGGGCCTGGATTCCCCCCCCCAATCCAGCACAGAGGGTTGGATGATGCTGTCCTTCGTCAGGAGTTCTCCTGGGGGTTGTGGTTCCTCCTGTGCACGGGGTTGCCAACCCTCCCGGATTGACCGGGAGTCTCCTGGAATTGGCATCGATCTCCTGGTGACTATTGAAAGCAATCCGGGAGATTTTAATAGGCCGCTAAAAGTCCGGTTGGTGGCGCAGCGGGGCTAAGGCAGGGTCCCTACCTGCCCTGGCTCCGTGTGGTTCCCAGAAGGGACCGGCATGTCCAGCTCCCAGGTGGAGGCGTGGCCAGGGGGGTCTCCACACGCTGCCCCCGCCCCAAGTGCTGACTCCTCAGCTCCCATTGGCCAGGAACCATGGCCAATGGGAGCTGCGGGGCGGCACCTGCGGGCACAGGCAGCACGCAGAGCCGCCTGGCCGCGCCTCCACCTGGGAGCCAGACATGCCGGTTGCTTCCGGGAGCTGCCCGAGGTAAGTGCCCCCCAGCTGGAGCACACACCCTTCACCCCCTCCCATGCCCGAACCCCTGCCCCAGCCTTGAGCCCCCTCCCGCACCTAAACTCCCTCCCAGAGCCTGCACCCCAAACCCCCTCCTACACCCCAATCCCCAGCCTTGAGCCCCTCCTGCACCCAAACTCCCTCCCAGAGCCCGCACCCCAAACCCCCTCCTACACCCCAGTCCCCAGCCTTGAGCCCCTTCCTGCACCCAAACTCCCTTCCAGAGCCCTCATGCCACCCCCCTTCCCCCGCACTGCAACCCCTTGCCCCAGCCCGGAGCCTCTTCCTGCAGCCCAAACCCCTCATCCCCAGCCCTATCCCAGAGCCCGCACCCCCAGTCAGAACCCTCACAACCCTCCTGCACCCCAACCCCCTGCCCCATCCCAGTGAAAGTGAGTGAGGGTCAAGGAGAGTGAGCGATGGGGGCGGGTGGAGTGAGTGGAGGTGGGACCTCAGGAAGGTGTGGGGCAAGGGTGTTCACTTTGTGCGATGAGAAAGTTGGCAACCCTACATGTGCACAAGGTCCCTAGAGATTTTCTCATGGTGCTTTACTAGCCAGGCTGAAACTCCCTGGAAGACTGTGGCTGAGGCTGACTGATTGTAACTTGCGTCCGGTTCAATCTCTGTAGTAACATTTGACTCTCATTGGGTTGTTTAGGGGCTTTCTCTGAAAACTCCTGCTGGCTGTCTTTCCCAGCTCTGGCAGGAGGTTTCTAGATGAGGTACAGGCTTCTCTACAGTCCTGCGCTTGGAGGCCTCTTTGCGGCTGGTTGTTTTTTCTCTCGCATTGGACGGCTCGGCACGTGGATTTACTGAGGTCACATGTGTTCCCTCCAGTTCCATTTCTGCAGCAATTTAAGTTTCCCTGCTGAACAAAAAGGGTCAGGAAGGTGATGCAGCCGGCACGTACCCTCCCCTGCTGGCTGTTTCCCTCTGCGGGGTGATGCTGTGGTCCGTGAAGCATTTCCTGGCAGGGAACCACTGGAGGATGTTCTGTGACTGGCTGGCTGCCTTGTGACGAGGGCATTAGGGAAGAGTTTGCTGCTGTTGCACGGCAATTGGTTGGGTCTGCGTTTGTACACTGGGGTGGCGGCTCCGTCCTTGCCTGGCCCCGCAGAATGTGCCCGCATCTCAGCTGCCAGGAGCTGACACCCCCTTCACCCTCTCAGGCTTTCCCACCATTCACTTCCTTAGGGCTGCCAGTTTCGGCTGGGCCTGCTCCTGGAGGTTTCATCACATGACATAAACTTTAATTAAAGATTAACCGTTACTTCCTGGAAATGCCAGGACATCCTGGAGCGTTGGCAACCCAATGTTCTTTGGCCACTACCTAATCCCCAGGTGTAGGCGGCAGAGATGACCCCGGCTGTTACCTGGCCTGCGTTCCAGAGCCGACGGGATAATAGCGGGGGCTGTGTGCTAGTGACAGAGGCCACGGCCCCGGGCTGCTCTGTAATGGGTCACTGGGCTGCATGAGCCACAGTGGGAAACGAAGCCCCAGGAGAGCCCCTCCGCTGGCTTTGCTGCAGGGGGCTCCTGGGAGCAGCTGACCCCAGGGAAATGGATTGGGGACTTCCTAGCTCAGTTCTCAAGGGCGCTGAATTAACTCTCTCACTGCCGGAGCACAGGCGGATACAGGCAGGGCTGTGTATCGCTCCGTGGAGGGAGGGCAGTGCCCAGCCTGGGAGGTGCATGTGGCCCTGGCACGGGAAGGGTTGATCCAGGACCTTTGCTCAGGGGTGTTGTAGAGCAGCCAGGAGGTAGCTGTGATGGTCCCAGACGCATATGCAGATACCCCTATCCCTGCCCCACCCCTGCTCAGCGTGCGAGAGAGCCCAGACGAATGCCAGCACTTGGCCAAGCCACCATTCGGCCCTGGACAGACAGCAGCCAGAGGTGCCCAGACGTTCCTGTGTTACCGCCTGAAATTCCACCCAAGCCAGAGTCTCCCTGCGCCTCTCTGGAGCCAGAGGGGAATTCCCCAGTGAGCCCATGATGAGCTGAGAGGCTGGAGGAGTTTTTCTTTCCAGGAGTTTTGAGTGTTTCTCTTTCCTTGGTAAAGAAACTAATCACAAGAAGGAAGGCAGAGGGGTTCCGAGAGCTGATGGAAAACCCCGCAGGGAACTCCGCAGGCCACGACTCCAGGCACTGCTCCTGGCAACACCAACCTGCTCCAAGGCTTGGGGAGCCCTGGGCAGGTGCCCGGGAGCCGCGCGGCACAGTGGGGTGGTTGGCAGCGGGCTCCTGCTCGGAGGAAGGCAGCTGCCGTTTGCCATTGGTGCTCTCCTGGGGCTGGGGGGTGTTAGTTACTGCACTGGCTGCCTGTGAGTTTCCTCTCCTTTGGCCCTGCTCCGGCACCCCGGCTAGCTGCATTTGAGGCCGGCTTGGTACGTGGGCTCAGACACAGCTCATCCGCTCCCCAGGCCAGCGCAGGATGCGCCCGTGGTGGGGTTTCAGGGGCGGTCTCTCTTCACCTCGAACTGGCTCCTGTCAGGCCCCTGAGAGCTGCCCCGGCGGCACGGCATCAGCTTGCTGACGTATGCGTCTGCCGCCGCCGTCATTTAAGGAAGTGTCACGCGGCTGGGGGAAGCAAGGTGTGTGCCGCGACGGCGGGGGCGTCTTCCCCTTTCAGTCCGCAGATGGGTCCCTCCCCACGTCACTCAGCACCAGCGGCCCTCGGCAGCTATTTCTGTCCCTGGTCACTGTGCCTCGGCCTGGGAGCTCACCCGGGATGACGGCTCCCTCTGTGCTGCTGCCTACCACCAGGGCTTCCTCTGGCTCTGTCAAGCACCAGCCCACGGGGTCTCAGTCGGGGGGGACCCTCCTCCCTTTCTGTATAGCTGGGGGAGGGTACTACCCCTTCTTTCTGGTGTAACCTGGGGACAGGGTGTGGAAGGGCTGAGGGCCCTGCTCAGGCTCCTCAGAGAGTGGGGGGGGGGCGGGGCGACGCTGCCCAATTTGTCAGCCCTCAGCCTCTCTGAATGGGGCGAAGAGCCCAAGGGAAGGGAGTGACCAGGGGCTCACCCTGCAGTCCAGCCCCCCAGGGCCTGCCAGGACCGTGCCTGGCTCCTCACCGCTGCAGGCTCAGGTCAGTCTCCCATGGATATGGGCAACGCCAGCCCTGCGAGCAGGACCAGCTCCACTGGACCGACACGCACGCAGTTTAGTGCACCTGCTGGAGGGGCCCAAGGCAGGCCTGGGGGGCAGTGACCGAGCTGGGGACAGGAGCCCACTAACGGACCAGCAGGGGAGGGGCGGCACCGGTCACTGGCAGAGCGACATGGGTGGAAGAGCCCCCTACCTCAGTGACTTCCCCTAGGTGTGCAGCCTTTTGCCTGCTCTGAATCTTTGGCAAGCCCAGAGCCCGAGTCTGGAGCCCCTGGTCCCAGTAACAGTCTCAGTTCCGGCGCCTCTGACCTTTGCCTCTAGCACCACTCGCAGATCAGCATCACACTTACCCCTCCTACCCCTGAAGCCAGTAACTGCAGCAGCCCCCTGTCACGGAGTGTGGGGGGACACAAGGCCCTGCACCCCCGGCTTCCTGTGATTCACCATGACTCTCAGCCAGCCAGTAAAGCAGGAGGTTTATTTAGACGACAGGAACACAGTCCAAGACAGGTCTTGCAGGCACAGACAACAGGATCCCCCCCAAGTTAGGTCCATCTTGGGGTCCCAGGGCCCCACAGCCCCCTTGGGAGGTCAGAGCCCCGTCTGCCTCCCAGCCATTCCGCCAGCCAGCTCCTGAAACTTCCCCTTCAGCGACCCCTCCCACAGCCTTTGTTCAGCTTCCCGGGCAAAGGTGTCACCTGGCCTCTAACCCCTTCCTGGGTTCTCACGTTACATGCTCCGGTATCTTCCCTCAAGGCCAGTCTCCCATCCCCCAATGCAGACCGTCCTAGCCAACCTCCTCTGCCTTCCCAGCCAACACTCCCCACTCAGCATTCAAAGACCACATTAAGAACAGTCCCAGTTGGTCACACCCCCCCCCCCATGCCGCACAGCCGCCTGCCCGGCCAGGCCAGACCCTGCGCTTCGTCCCCCTCTGGGCTCTGGCTTGCTGTCTGCAGCAGCTCCAGGGACCCAGCCAACGAGGCCGAGGGAAATGGATGGCGGTGACCTCCTGGCACGCTCTGGGGACAGCAGCTCCTCTGGGGCAGGCCAGTTCCCAGGGCTTTGCCCAGCCCAGGGTCCCTGCAGCCAACCCCCCCATGCTGGTAAAATGACTCAGTGCTGGGGTTTCTCCTCCTGGTCCGTGACAGCCCGGCAGCTTTGTGCCTGTCACCCAATGGAACGGACGTGGTCCTTGGACCGACGCTCCCACCTGCCGCGGGGTCTATCCGAGGTGCTCCCTGCCTGACCTTCCCCGGCTGGGAGCAGCCATGTTCCCCTGGCTGTGATGTGCCAGCAGGGCTGGGTTTCCCCTTTGTGTTTTGCAGCGAACTGATGGTGTAATGTAACATGGCCTGGCCCTGATAACCCACCACATGCAAATCCACCCTGCCTTCCCATTCCCCTGGGGCATGCCAGAAACCCCAGCGTTTCCCGGGCGGCACACTGAGCAGGTCCCTGTGCAGTTCTGAGCCGCAGGGCTTCCCCAGGGCTGGGGCGTGCTGGGAATGGAGCCGCGCAGGGCTTTCATCACTGGGGGGTTTCTCAGGGAACTGAGAATCCTTGAGCGGGTGGGAAACTTTCCTACTGGATAAAGCTGGTGCACCCTGGCGTCCCCTGACTGGGGGCTGCTCAGCAGGGACGACTCTCCCATTGGCAAGGAAAAGCTCCTGGAAAGGCCGAGCGCTCCCTCAGGGGCTGCGTGGTGCCGGGGTGGCAGGCACACTGCCCCTGCCATGGAGAGCCTCAGCGCCCAATGGGGACTCACTCCTGAGCCTGCATTTCCACTGCCTGAGTTCGGGAGCTGCTGTGCGCTCAGGCGGGCCTGGCCTCGCGCCGCGCAGTGCTGAGAATCTATCCCCTGCCCAGCTCCAGGGTGAAACCTCTCGCCCCCCTCCCTCTCCTGCAGAGCTCAGCCATAGGCGGGAGGGTTGTTCCTGATGGGGGGAGTTTCCCAACTTGCTGAGAGGAGGCAGGGAGCAGCAGGGGCTGGTACTTACCCGTCTATTAGAGGAGTCTCGGTCATGATTCTCTCGGCCTTTGCCCGGTAAATCTCCGCTGAGCAGAATGGGAAAATGGATACAAGCAAGTACCCGCACAGCATTGGCTTCATGATGGCCAGACAGGGCTTCTGATTCCTCCACCTCCCACCCTGCTCTAGAGGGGTCCCTCCGGCTGGGCACAGAGACTTCTCTGCGTAAATGAGACTGTCTAGTCCAAAACCAAGGTCTCAGAGATGTTCCTTTGATTGGGAGGTCACATTCCTTGGAACCTGGCTTAGGTAACAGCCCAGAGTCAATAAGTAACCATGCGGGACCATAAAGCAATCCGGAGCCATCTCTAGCCAGCTGCACCTTAGCTTTGCCATACATGAGCTCTTCACAAAAGCGCCCTGTACAAAGTGTTCAGGGCACACATGGGGCAACCCCCACACATGGTCTTGAAGCTCGAAGCCCATCCTGCTCAGAAATGTCATGCGCAAGCAGCGGTTTCAGGTGCCGTCCTGCAAAGGCCACGTCTACACTTGGAGCTGGGGAGGCGATACACGTGTGCTAGCTCTCGGTGAAGTAGGGCACCAGAAGCAGCACAGGCAGTGTCGAATGTTAGCACGGGCCAGCTGCCCCGAGTCCGTGCCTACGGGGTCCAGGCAGGTTGATGCTCTTGGTAGCTAGCCCGTGCTGTGCTGCCACGGCTGCTGTCTGTTTAGAATGTCACCATCGATGGTGTTGTTAGGCGTGTAGCTTCTCAGGTGCGGGGCGGAGAGCAAGCCGCATTCCATCTGCTAGGCCTGATTAGCTCGGTCCAAGAGAGGCAAGTCTGAGGACACGAGGGGCCGGGCAGGAGACTGGAAGTGGGAGATGCCTCCACAATCCCTCATTTGCAAGGCATCTAGAAGAGCTGAGCGCAGACGGGCTGCAGACCTCACTGCGTGCGGCCAGGCCAGGCCAGGCGGCTGTCGCTTGTCAGAGACTCTCTCTTCCCAGAGCAGCAGCTGGGGAGGGAAGGAGTCTTTGAAAGAGGAGAATGTTGTGGTGAAACCATGAAAAATCGGTTGGGGCAGGGCCTGCCGCTGCTTTCAAGGGTCCCTTTAATTCCACACATTTCAGGCCCAGCTGCCATTTGCCGTGTCGGTCCCAGGACATTAGTGAGACAAAGGAATCGCTTTTATTGGACCAACTTCTGTTGGTGAGAGAGACCAGCTTCCGAGCTTCACAGAGCTCCACTTCAGCCCAACCTGGTCAGTCTCCTTCCAGCAGAGACCAGGGCCCTCAAGTTCCCTCCGTGACCCCTGTGTCTAGGGGACCTTGGCTAGGGAGAGGGGAAGTTGGAGGGCTTCCCCTTAGAGTAAGTGTGAGACAGAGTCCACCCAGGGCATAGGCAGGGATTGCAAACCAGCAGAGCCCATGTACTAATGGCTGCACTGTCTGGGCTCCCTCGCTAATGATCTAAAGCCCCCCGGGGTTTGCACAGACTTTGCAGGTTCGTTTGGATTCGGGTTTACACAGAGAGCGTTCCCTTCTGGGCCTGGTGCCATGTTCCAGTCAGGACGTACCCCTGCCGGGGGATCTAGTGGGGGCATACGCCCGTCCTCAGCTGATGGCACCTTTCCTGATCTCCAAGCTGGCTTGTCGGCTGTGTCAGCTGATGGGGTGGGGGCGTGTGGAAGACACAGGTCTAAAGTGCAGCGTGTTTCTAGGGGCCATGCCAAGGTGATGAGCGCAGTGTAAATAACCAGACAGCGAAATGCACAGACGTCAGCGAGAAAACGAAAGCCGCTCTCTCCGCTCTGGATTTTCTCCTCCGCGGGGCCCGCTCCCAGCTGGAGAACTTGCCACATGGTCACAACAACAACCAGCTGAATCTGAATTACAATGGTGTGGCAGAGAAGGGGTTAGCCACAGACAATAGCAGGGAAGTGGAGGAGCACCAGGGAGAAAAGTATCTGTGGCTGGGGCCTGAGAGTGGAGAGTCTTTGCTGCCTTGGGCGCTGCTCAGCCTGGCATGCCCTGCAAGGCCCTGCCCGCCACGCCACTGGGCCCGGGAATGCGGGGCCCCAGGGTTTGAATCCCAGTCAATCAATGTTTTAAACAGCCAGCGCTCGCTGTGCGGCCCTAGATCCATCCACTTGCTCTTTGGCAGGGCCAGGGCTGTGCTTTTTGCCCTGTGCGGGATGTGTGAGGGGGCACATTGGTACTCGTTCGTTACCAGCCACTTCTGCTTTCTAGCCTGGCACTGGGAAGTGTCTGATACAAAGAGGCTGTTCCAGCCGCTGGTCCCAGTTCGGGGCAAGTGCACCTGTACTTCCCCTCCATGGCCCAGGCTTCCGGCTCCCCTGGCCGACACCTCTCTGGGGTGGAGACCTGTGTCTCCCTTGGGAGCAGGGTATTTCCAGACTGCCAGCTCCCTGCCTTCCCTGTGCTCTTCCCAGCACAGACAGGCTGTCCTAGGACACCTGCTAGCTTTCTCTTCAGAGCCGCCTTGCATTGCTACAGGTCATGGTACCCAGGCAAGCCGGCTTTGTTCTTCAGGTAAAAAACATTACAGAGAAAACATATTCAAACCAGCAAGAGACCCATGCTAATAACCCTCCCAGGGATCACCCCAACTCTGCCAGGAGCCGTCCTCAACGTGCCTCCCGCAGACTTTCCTTGTGGTTACAAGTGCATCACAGCGTCAGCTGAGAACTAGCACCCGGTCGTATGGGGCCCCATCGGCCCAGTCCTGCCAACCCTACCCTAAGGATTGGGACCCTCACTGGACCAGGGGTCCTGGCTGTTTGCTAGAGCAGAACTGAAAGCCCAGAGCCTGTTTAAAACCAGGCTATTTATCCCCAAACCCTTCCTTTGTGTGTTGGGCCCTGGAGGATCCAGTCTGAGCAGTACATGCGCATCCCCCAGGGGCGGCTTCAAAGGGCTGCTAAAGGAGGAATTACGTTAGCCCCCACTCCTACTAGAGCAGGTACGTGCAATGCTGCAATGGCACACACAACTGCATGGCTAATCCAATGGACCCCAAAGGCCTTAACCCCAATTCAGTAAGGTTTAACTTAATCCAATAACATTTATCTTAATCCCATTAGGCTTTGTTCAGGCTATTGCTGGCCTGTCACCACCTGCCCCCACCAACGGGAGCCCCAGCTAGCAGCTAGAGCCGGGAGTGGTCGGCTCCAAGCACTGATTGAATCCAGCCGGCAGGGACTCCAGGGCTGGGTCTGTGTGTGTGTGTGGCGGGGGCCTTGCCAAGTGGTCTGGCCAACGCCCCGTTCTCACACCTCATGCAGGCTAGTGGAACTGCAGGGGCGTGTGGAGATTCGCTGGGTTAAAGTCAGTGCAGGGCTGGCCGGCTGGCTGGGGCGCAGGGCAGTTGGATGGCTACGCTCTGGTCTGTGCCACACACGCTGCAGCTACCTGTGTGTTCCCGCGAAGGGCCCCAGCACCGTGCTCGATGGAAATCCATTTCTCCGGGGTGGCGCCTGGCGCTGTGCGAGCGAGGCCAGGGCAGACGCGGTGGGGCCTGCTGCGGTGTGTGGAGATGCCACCAGCACGCAGGATGTCAATTTACCACCCTCCGCATGGGAGCGTCTTAAGGTACCTGGCTCCCTCCTGGGTCCCTGGGCTCCTGCCAGACTCTCAATGCTCGGCCAGCACTTTCCCGTGCTGGTCCCAGCCAGGGGCTGCCGTCCCACTGGCTTGATTCTAGGCCCTTTCCATCCTGCCCGGCTCCCTCTCTAGCCATGGGCTCTCGCTCCCGGCACCCAGTCTCAGCGTGGCCAGTGGCTGCTGCAGCTGCCACTCCTCGGCACCCTCCAGGCTGGCAGACCCACCGGGCTTGTTCAGGAGAGTCCCGGCCCTCGCCCCGTGGCACCACTGGCCGATGAGCAGAGCAGCGCAGGGGCGGGAGGTTGCTGAGGGGAGCATGGCAGTCACTGGAGGGAGCCGAAGGTCCCGTTGCTCCGGGTGGTGTCAGCAGTTCTCAGATCTTTGAGGTGACGCTGCTGTCTCCTGGCCTGGTGCCCCGAGAGCATCTCAGGCGCGCAGGCTGTGACCTTGGGGCCGTCATAAATTGCTGTTATCACTGCTGTAAATGGTGAACAGTGTTCCCAGCGTGGGGGAGTGAGGGAGCCACCTTCGACAGGGCCTACGGCACAAAGGGCAGCCTGCCTTGCAAAGGGGACCCGCTGCCTCTGGCTGGCTGGGAGGCCCAGAACCACTGGGTGGCTGCTGCGGGGGTGCAGGTTGGGGCAGAGGTGCAGTTCCTGGGCAGTGGTTGGCTGCTGGGGGAACGTGACGGGGAGGTATCAGGCCTGGCCCGTGTGGCTTGCAGAGCCGGGCCAAGGCGGGGGTGATGGCTGGGGGAAGCCGAGGCTGACATGTCGCTTCGTTCTCCACCCTGGTCTGGGCTGGGAATTGCTGAAGGCCCCGAGTGCTTCCCAGGCTGTGCTGTGGACAGCATGTTTCCCGCCCTGCTCCACCCTCCCTTCCCTGGGGATGGGCGCTGAGTGTCAGCCTGACCCTGGGAGACGAGTACACCCAGCCCGCGCCCTGCCAAGGCTGGGCTCAGGCCTCCGGAGCAGGCGCACTGGATCTGCTGACCTGGACCCACCCCTGGCTTTGGGGGTGGACGGTGCCAGGTCTGCTGGCAGTTCGTGAAATTAAACCAGACACTTACCTTGAATGCTAATGGTGGTGAATGTGATCGCTCAGCCAGTGCCACGGGGGTGGGCTCCGGCACCTCCCCTGCCGCTCTGGGGAGTGGGCTCCGGCACCTCC